TGGCTGAGTCATAAACTTAGAATATACCTACTTTTTAAAGAATAGACAGTTTCCTAAAGTGATTGGACCTGCTTTCTTTTCTTTTTACATTTTTATCTATTTTCATGATTATTTGAGAGGGGGAGGGAGAGAGAGAGAGCCCTTCCATTCACTGGTTCACGCCCCCAAATGCCAGGGCTGGAAGCCAGGAGCCACGGGCTCAGTCTGGGTCTCCCACACCTGTGGCAGGGATGCAGGTACTTGAGCCGCACCTGCTGCCTCCCAGGATGCGCATTAGTGGAAGTTAGAGTGGAGCTGGGGCTCCAACCCAGGCACTCAGATACGGGATGTGGGCACTGCAAGCAGTGTCTTAACCACTAGGCCAAGTGCCAGTCCACAGAAGAACACTTTTTCATTATGACACCGAACCAAATTAACAAGAAGTCCTCTATATAATGTAGTAGCCAGTTCATATGTATATTTCCTCAATGATCTAAAATAGTGAATTTGGCTGGCACCGTGGCTCAATAGGCTAATCCTCCGCCTTGCGGTGCCAGCACAGCGGGTTCTAGTCCCAGTCGGGGCGCCGGATTCTGTCCCAGTTGCCCCTCTTCCAGGCCAGCTCTCTGCTGTGGCCAGGGAGTGCAGTGGAGGATGGCCCAAGTCCTTGGGCCCTGCACCCCATGGGAGACCAGGAGAAGTACCTGGTTCCTGCCATCGGATCAGCGCGGTGTGCCGACCGCAGCGCACCAGCAGCAGTGGCCATTGGAGAGTGAACCAACGGCAAAAGGAAGACCTTTCTCTCTGTCTCTCTCTCTCACACTATCCACTCTGCCTGTCAAAAAAAAAAAGTGATTTTTTAAAATCGCTGCTTGTTCAAACCAGGATTAAAGCAAGGACCATTCATGTGGTTTCTGTATCTCTCTGTCTCTAGCTCTGTTCTCTTTCTCCCCACCTTGCATGCACACTTGGCCAAGAATCTTCACAGATTATAATTTATTTATTTTAAATATTTTGTTTTTAATTTTATTATCTTTAAAAGATTTATCTTATTTATTTGGAAGGCAAAGTTAGAGAGAGACACACACACAGAGAGAGAGGTCTTCCATTCATGGTTCACTCCCCAAACAGCCACAATGACCAGGGTTGTGCCAGGCTGAAGCCAGGAGCCTGAACCTCTTCTGGGTCTCCCATGTGAGTGCAGGGCCCCAGGGACTTGGGCCATCTTCTGCCTGATTTCCCAGGAGCATTAGCAGGGAGCTGGATTGGAAGTGGAGCAGCTGGGACTTGAACTGGTGCCCATGTGGGATGCCAGTGCTGCAGGCGGCTTAGCTACTCCACCACAGCGCTGGCCCCTTGCATTTCTTTTCAACAAGGGGCAGGATTGAGCATTCCCTATGTTTTAGGGCCATTTATATTTCCTTTTCTTTGAGTTTTGTGGATTTCTTCCCTGTTCTGTCAGATTATTGCTTTTTCCTCTTTATTTTGAGGACCTTTTCATTCTTTTTCCTGCAGAGAAATTCATTCTAGGAGAGACTCCACAGCAAAACAGGGAGAGCACTAGCGTTGGTGAGGAGCCACCAGCTCCGTCGTTTACAATCTGCTTGCCCTTGGGAGCACCACTTGACCCCGCTGAGCTGATGTCTTTATGTCAATGCCCATTTCACAGGCTTGGGCAGCTGAGACGTCCCGGACAGGGGAGTGGGTGTTTAGCCCAGCAATGAAGACTCCATGTCCCATAGCAGAGTATCTGGGATTGATCCCTCCCACTGCCTGCAGCAGTGACAGCTCAAGCAGTTGGCTTCTGGCCTCCCACATGGGAAGTCCGCGTTGTGTTTCTGGCTCCCAGCGTCGATAATGGGCCAGCCCTGGCCATTGCAGGCATTTGGAGAGTGAACCAGTGGATAAGAACAATCTCTCTCTCTCTGTCTCTCTCCCCCTCTCAATCTTTTCCTCTCCCTCTCAAGTAAGTAAATAGAATTTAAATGTGTTGCCTAAGAAGTGCAAAGGAAACATTCATCAAATAATTCATGAAAAAGGACACAGTGTACATGGGGAACTTGCCATAATGTATGCATTCAACGTATCTAGATTTTTCTTCCTATTAATTGCCTGTTTATATCCTTAGCATGATTGTTTTCTGATTCAGTTGTGAATTTTTTCTGTTTACTTTTTTAAAATTTATGCTTTTTAGTTTTAAAATTTAACATTTTTTAACATTTTGCCACATTCACTTCAAATGAAGACATTATGTACCTACACATATATGCTATTTGTTTGAGTTGCTGTCTTTTTCTTATTGATTTGAATAAGCACTTTGCATATTGTGGCTATTAATCCTTAGTTGACAATTTTTCTCCCAAGTTATGGTTGGTCATTCATTCCACAAATAGGCACTGAGTGCCTACTATGCGCTAGGAGCAAAGGAAGACAAACGCTAGGCAGCAAGGAAGCAAGAGGCTGGGACAAAAGGGGTCCACTCTAGGTCGAAAGTTCATGAAAGAACTCCCTAAGGAACAACATTTAAGCTGACACAGAAGGGTGAGAAGCCAGTGGGGGGCAGTGGGCTAAGGAGCCGCTGTGACACCAGCTCTGGTATCGAAGTTCCGGTTCAGGTCCCAGCTGCTCCACTTCCAATCAAGCTCCCTGCTAAAACACTGTTCACCTGGGAGGTGGGAGGAGCCAGGCCTCGGAAGATGGGCGCAGCCTGGCCAGCCCCGCCCCTGTGCCCAACAGTGAGGGCCTGTGGGACCTCACTTCCGTGGGTCTCGGTTTCTCTATTTGCGAAATGGGTATAATAATAGTGTCTTTTTTTTTTTTTTTTTTTTTTGACAGGCAGAGTTAGACAGTGAGAGAGAGAGACAGAGAGAAAGGTCTTCCTTCCGTTGGTTCACCCCCCAAATGGCCGCTATGACACAGCGCGCCAATCCGAAGCCAGGAGCCAGGTGCTTCCTCCTGGTCTCCCATGCAGGTGCAGGGTCCAAGCACCTGGGCCATTCTTCACTGCCTTCCCGGACCACAGCAGAGAGCTGGACTGGAAGAGGAGCCACCGGGACAGGATCCGGCGCCCCGACCGGGACTAGAACCTGGGGTGCCAGCACCGCAGGCAGAGGATTAGCCAAGTGAGCTATGGCGCCGGCCAATAATAGCATTTTTTTAAATAATTTTTATTTATTTACTTGTGAGGTAGAGTAACAGACAGAGCCGTAGCGGGGAGCTGGGTGGGAAGAGGATCTGGGATACGACATGAGCCGGTGCCCACAGGATGCTGGCACTGCAGGGGCGGCTTTCCTCACTACGCTGTAGCACCGGCCCCTCTCTGTTTTTATTTGTAAATAAAATACATCTTAAAAAAATAGCAAGTCAGTCACATGAGTGAGTGGAAGGACCAGCACGTGGCAACAATTGACAAGTTCAATAAGCTGAGATCGAGTTCCCAAATCAAGGTGGCAAGGAGGGCAGGGACGGGAGGTGGGAGAGCTGGCTCCACAGACAAAGGGAAGGAATTCAGTCTTATCGTAAGAAGCCCTCATGGCTGCTGAACTTATTTGTACTTTATGAAGATTCTTCCTGTAGTCAGGAGAATGGATTACAGGCAGAAAATAACAGCAACTACGTGGTGAGGATGGTGACTTGACAAGCTGGTACAACAGGTGTGATAAGAAAGGGGGCTGGCACTGTGGCATAGCAGCAGGATTGCCTCCCGCAGTCCCACCATCACATATGGACACCGGTTTGAGTCCTGGCTGCTCCACTTCCCATCCAGCTCTCTGCTGTGGCCTGGGAAAGCAGTAGAGGATGGCCCAAGTCCTTGGGTCCCTGCATTCACGTGGGAGAGCCGAAGGAAGCTCTTGGCTCCCAGATTCAGATAAGCCCAGCTCTGGCTGTTGTGGCCATCTGGGGAGTGAACCAGCAGATGGAGTATTAGGAAAATGGCGCAGTTTTATCTATGGCGCAATCTACACCCTGACACCATCCTAGGCTCTAGGCCCTGCCGCCATTGCTGGAAGCCAGGTGGCCACAGGGCCCAACCACTGGTGTCAGCTCCACCCCCATCCTAATGGGATTCACTGCTCCTGCTTCCCTGCCTGCCCTCTGGCAAAGTTTTAAAAGGACCTGGGTCCTCTCGCTCCTCTCTCCTCGGCTTGCTCACTCTCTCCTCTCTTCTCTCCTCACTAGCTCCTCTCCTCTCTCTCTCTTTCTTCTTCTCTCTGTTACACTCTCCTTCTCCCTTTTTCCTTCTTTGCCCCTTCCCTCTGCTGGGTTTTCCCCCAATAAACCCTTACTCCGGTGTTTGGTGTGTTTTGTGATGATTTTACATGGAGGATCTCTCTCTCTCTCTCTCTGCCTCTCTGTAACTCTGTATTTTAAATGGATAAATATATATACATATATATATATATATATATATATATTTTTTTTTTAAAGCAAGGCAGGCTTTGGGCAGATTCTAATGCAATCCAACATGCTTTGTTGACAGACTGGGTGGAAGGCAAGGAGAAGGCAGGGTCCAGAATGATCCTGGGTGCTGGTGGCTCGCAGGGCAGGCAGGACCATGTTGGGGGGTGCAGGTGAGAAGGCAGCCAGGACTTCAGTCTCTGGGTGGTGGGATCAGCTCCGTGAGGAGCGCCCCCTCATGTCAGCTTATCCCCACTTATCTTATCCACCTACCATTGAGGAAACCGAGCCAGAGAGAAACCACTTGCTACACACAATGAAGCCAGAGCTAAAGATCTTCCCTCCTCCCTCCATCCGCTCACTCACTCATCTCTCACCCATCATTCATCCGCTCACTCACTCATCTCTCACCCATCATTCATTTCCTCTTCTTCCCTTGCCCCATCCACCCCGAGCCCAATCTATGCGTCTCTCCTTCCACGCACGTGTCAGTGCAGGCATCCACCCTCCCACCCTACACCGTCCACGATGTGTGGGGCCCCTGGCATCTGCTCCCTGCTGGACAGGAAGGCGAGTCGGGGGTGAGAAGGCACGGGACAGAGACGTCGGCAGGCAGCTTGGCTTAAGATATTTATTAGGGATTTCACATTCAGCCTCAGGGGCTCTGCGGAGGGGCGCAGCAGTGCATCCTTCAAGCATTGCAACGCCCAGGAGCGGGTCAGGTCCTGAGGGCTTCATTCCTGCTGGGTGACCGATCAGTCCTCACTGCAAGAGACAGACACTCAGCACCTCCTCTTGCCCACGCGTCCACTGCCCGTTCCCGTGAGCATCCAACGCCCTCGCGCCCGAGAAGCCCGGCTTCCCCGCCACATCCTCACCATGGGGAAAGATCCGGTGCCGTCCAGCTCTCCGTGACCGACTTGTCGTTGGTCGGGTCTCCGTCAAAGTTTCCGCAGGCCCCACACAGCTGGCCAGCGCGGCCACTGTCCACCGTCACGGTCAGCTGCCCATCGGCGCCCAGCCACACCCAAAGCCCATCCTTTTGGTGGACAAGTATGGAGTTGTCGCTGTTGCGCGTCACGGACACCGATGTCAACACTTCAGCTGGGAGGTCCACCTGGCGACCATTCACCTGGCGATGGAGGCGGGCAGACACAGGTGAGGCCGGAGCCGCAGCGCAGCCGGCGAGTTACCAGGACGGAGACCCCGAGCGAGGTCATGAGTTCAGGAACTAAAGCAAGGAGCAGGTTCTGAAAGCCATGAAGACCCGGATGGAGGCTGCGTGTGGCCAGACAGACTCGGGGAGATAGCTGGAGACTGGGCGGATGGAGAAAGGGATTGGGGGACCCACGCAGCGTCCCAGGGTCGGGGGTGGGAGGGACTTTGTACCAGAGGCCCATCCCAACCAACCAACCTCAGGGCCACCCTGTTGGGGTCTACTTTTCAAAACAAAAGGCCTCTGAGGAGCATGTTCTCTGTTACTGCTTCCCCAAGAGGAGAGTTTATCCCTTATCATTGTAATGCTGATGTCTAAAGATAAGTAGTGAGCGTAGCAAATATAATAGGCCTGTGAGGAGATGACTGCTTCCTCGTCCTGGGTTGCAGACTCAGCAACGTCAGGAGTTTTTTTCCCTTGAAACAAGTGTTGTTTGTTTTTGTTGGTAAGTTCATCCTTCTAAAGTTAGTCTCTCTAGCAAAAATTGCTTTTAAACAGAAGTTCTCTTTTTTTCCCGAAATGCTTTTGTATCTGAGTCTGCCTCTGTCGGGTGACTGGAGAGACAGGCAGACTGATGGGAAAAGTAGGTGTGGAGCTGAGATGGGCGGGAGGGAGGAAAGAAGAGAGGAGGGAGAAAGGGAGGGAGGATGGAGACAGCCAGGAGGGGCGGGGCGGGGCAGGGGAAGCCTCTCCCGGCTGCTTCCTGAGTATGAGAACTGGGTTCGAGTCGGCCCTGGAGTGGGAGTCGGCTCCCAGCCTGACTCAGAGGGGCGGGGCTGAGCTGAGTCACCAAACCCGACTTTTCCGGGGTCCAGGTGCCAGGCCTGGATCTGGGGACTGGGAATAAAGGGGTGACGGGGACAGACAGGATCCCTGCGCACCCAGGGCTCAGGTTCCGGAGCTGATGCAAGGTGCAGCTTCCGCAGCTTCCTTCCGGGAGCCTGACGTTTGGCATGTGCTAGGCAGAGCTGCCTGGGTGACCAGCCCTACCCCCTCCAATAAAAACCACCTGGCCAATCACAGCATTCCATCCCCAAGGCCACGGTGACTGGTTCCAGGGATAGGCAAGGGCCCAAACTGGTCCAGCGTAGCTAAACCAGTGCGGTGTGGGTCTGTGAGAGGAAAGCCGGAGAATCAAGCCGACTTGGTGACCAGCACATCTAAAACATAGAGGCCTACAGTCCTGACCCTGAGTTTTCTAGTTCCGTGGGCCAATCAGTTCACTTCTGCTTCTCAGGAAGTTTGAGCTCGGTTTTTCTGTCACCTGCAACCAATGGAGTCCTGATTGACGCTAATATCAAAACTATGACGTTCCTTGAATGCGTTCTGCCTCCCACGAACTCAGCTGAAATACTGAGGCAAATACCAATCCAGAGATCAAATTGCAGAGGAAAGAGACAGCAAGACAGGCAGGCAACAATGCAAGGACACTGCACATCACCCCAACCCCCGCCAGCCCGCCGCCACGCCCAGGCTTACCCACACTCCCCCGTCTCGGGTCACGGTGACTATCCCGTCCTCGAAGAAGACGTGGAGCTGGCCCACCGTCTCAGCTGTGCCAGCGCAGGGCTGGATGGCTGCCACCACACGATACCAGGGGGTCTGTAGTCCTGGGCAGCGGAAGGAGAGCTCATAGACACCAGAGGAGTTGAAGGCACTGAGGGCCCCATCAAAGGTGGTGAGGTTGGAGCCTGCGGAGAGGGTACACTGGGCGCCGGAGGCCTGGCAGACCCGAACCCCGTTCTGGACCTCGCAGACGCTGCCCGCCTTGCAGCTGGCCTCATAGCACTGCAGGTCCGCGTCTGGGGAGCAGTAGCAGCGCTCGTTGCAGTCTGAGGACAGGAGGGAGGAGTTCACCTGTGTGCAGAAGGGGGCAGGTGAGAGGTTGGGGGGTTACAGGGATGGCTCTGTAACAGGGGGAAACAGCAATAGCGCCGATAAGTCCCAGCAGCTCCACTTCTGATCCAGCTCCCTAAATGCACCTGGGAAGGCAGCAGAGGACGGCCCAGGTAGTTGGGGCCCTGCCTCCCATGTGGGAGACCAGGATGGAGCTCCAGGCTCTTGGTTTTGAGCTGGACCAGTCCCAGTCTTGTGGTCCTTTGGGGAGTGAACCAGCAGATGAAAAATCTCTCTCTCTCTCCTCTTCAAATAAATAACTAAATCTTTAAACACCCATAACAACCAGTGCAGAGCAAGAGCCCAAAAAATACTGTTAACACGAATAAATCAAGGATTGCATTTCAGTTTGCAGAGTAAGTGATGGTTGGGGGCTGCCTAGAGCACCGTCTAAGTTGCTATTCCTTTCCCTGAGTGGGATGCGCAGGGAGTGCCAGGCCCAGGGCACAGCGGGCGTCTTCCACACAATCACACCTTCCCTTACACACCTGTGGTGCAAGGACAATGACTACCCCCATCTTACAGGTGGAGAAAATGAGGTTCAGGGTGGGGACCATGGCAGGCCAAGTGTGGTCCCTCACAGACATCAGATCCCAATCCCTGGGACCAAGTAAACATCCCCTTCTGTGGGAAAAAGGTGTTTGCAGCGGTGTTAAACCGAGGACTTGGAAGTGGAGAATTCATGCTGGATTATCCAGGTGTCCTCCCAAGAGGAAGCTGGAGGGAGCGTTCCTGACACACACAGGCCGATACTGCAGGGATGCAGCCCCAAGGCACGGGATGCTGGCAGCCCCCAGAAGCTGCAGGGAGCAGTTAGACTGCGGGGGGGGGGGGGGCTGGGGGCAGCCTGCCTCCAGCGTGGGGGTACTGATTTCCGGAATGGTGGGAGAACACATTGCTTCCGTGTTAGACTACCAGGTTGGAGGTCAGCAGCATCACACACAGCAAGTGTCCCAGCTGGGAGATGGCAGCGGCACCCCTGTCCCAGTCCTCGGGGAGGTTAGACACCCTCCCACCCTCCCTGCCCACCTCGAGCCCCTACTCACAGGCAAGTACCGGCCATTGTAGGTGCAGCCACACTCCTGGGAGGGGACGCAGACGCCCTGGGCGAGCAGGAAGCGGTCGTCACACTCACAGCCCTCGAAGCAGTGGCTGGTGCAGCCCGTGAGGCCAGAGAGCGCTGTGCAGGAGCCCTGGCAGGAGTAGGTGCAGACGGAGTAGTGGCTATTAGCCGGGCACTGCAGCGCTGTGGAGAGAGACATGGCGGGCTGGGGTCACGCCTCCATGGACGGCCACAAGAGCTTCTATACAGCCAGCCCGGGCGTGGGCTGCGCTGATGACCCAAATGACGCAGACAGCCCCAAACTCTGCCCTGCAGAGCTCAAACCGGAGGGACAGGCCATGAGGGGCCCATGTGGCTGTGCTGCATTGGGCAAGGTCAGGCTTGGGGCTCAGGGCAGGGGCAAGTGAAACACAGGGGGCTGGGAGGACCCAGGGGAAGCATTCGGGGTGAGGTCCTGGGCTCTGGCTGAGAACTGGTGGCTGCTGTGGCTGCCCAGTGCCGGGACACGGGGGGGCCAGGGGAAGGAGGACTGGCTTGGGGTGAGGCGCTGATGTCGTCTGGGAACACAGCAGGTGCAAGACATTCTGAGGATGCTGGAGGGAACGCGCTCACACTGGACCCCTGGGGCTGGCAGTCAGGAGAGAGCTCGGAGCAAGAGACAGGCTCCACTGTCCCCACTGAGGACGAGGCCAAGGCCGTGAAGCCTATAAGGCCCTGGGTAGGGGTCCTGCTCTGAGGAGACCGAAGCAAACTCGGCCATGGCCTTTTCCTGCAGAGCCTAGGTGGGGGAGGGGCATGTCCTTGCAGCAGGAGATTTGGGGGAGAGGGACAGCCCTGGTTTGGGGGCCCAACGGCCTGCAGCTTTGTCCTGGGTGCTCTGAGGGGAGCCGGTGTTGCCCCCAGGGGGCTGGCAAGCCACAGACTCAGGCTGCAAGGTGAGAAAGTGCCCAGGATGGAGGCCCAGGGAAGATGTGAAGAGGTTTGAGGAGAAAGGGGGCGGTCAGAGGGGGCAGAGGGGAGCCGCCAGGCGAGCAGCGGGCGTGGGAGGAGCTTTCGCAGGAGGGGGCTGGGCTGCTCCTGAGATGCAGACGGAGGAGGGCGGGGCGTGGCGGGCGGGAGACCTCCCAGGCACCACCCCCCCCCCCCCCCCCCCCCGACACTCACGGCAGAAGCTGTCTGTCCTCCAAGGCTTCACGGCCATGCCGGCCGCCTGACAGTCGGCTGTGTAGGCGGCCAGGCTGCGGCAGAGGAAGGCCTGGTCGCCCTTCTGGGCGCACAGGTCGTACACGCACTGGCGGAAGTACTCGGAAGGACTCAGCACCTCGTGGCAGGCGGCCCAGGCGCCGCTGGGGTCGAGCAGCCGCCCACAGAGCTCGCTGCTCTCGTAGGGTGCCGTCTCCTCCGCCCGGCACACGGGGCAGCCTTGGGCCCCACAGCCCTCGGTGCAGTCCTGGGGGGAGCCGGGTGCCCGCCACGCCGCCCCGAAGTCCTCCACGCTGGGGGCCACCGAGCCGTCGGGTAGCTCGAAGTCGTCGCTCCAGTTGCCGTTGAAGTTGCCGCACAGGCCGCAGAGCCGACCGTGGAAGGGGCTGGGGATGGAGATGAGGACGTGGGCGTCGCCGTCAAAGAGAAGCCGCAGCCCCTCGGTTGTCTGCAGGATCAGGTTTCGGCCCTCGGAGGTCACCCGCACATGGCCCACGGCCACGGGCAGGTCCACCACCTCGCCGTCGATGGTGACCTGCACGGGAGGAAGGGGCGGGTGAGTGGCTCACAGAACCTCCAGAAGCCCAGGACTTGGCTGTGTCTCCCTGGGTCCCTGGGTGGGCCACTCACCTCCGGTCCCCGGGCCAGGCCCACGACCTGGCCAGCCACAGTAACCAGCACGCGCTGCGGTTCTCCAGCCGCGTTCTTCTCCAGGACGATGGTGAAGTCCTCATCCCCGGGCTGTGGGTCGCAGACCTGGGCCAAGATGTAGGAGCAGGAGCCGTGCAGGTCGTAGACGCGTCCGTCCAGGGTGAGGTAGTGGATGCCTCCGTCGGCCAGGCAGCGGCCGCAGCCTTTGGGGTGACAGGCCTGGACGCCGTCCTCCAGCCGGCACTCCTCGTAAGGCCCGCAGGCCGCACCCTCCTTGCAGCTGACTTGGCCCCCTGGGCCGCACTCACAGCGTCTCTCGCACTCGGGCCCTGGGTAGAAGGCTGCGCCCAGTGGGTAGTAGCGGCCCTCGTGGAGGCAGCCGCACTGGCCCAGGGGGACGCATGTGTCACCGCTGAGCACGTAGCCGGCGTCGCAGTAGCAACCTTCGCGGCAGGTTGGCTCGCAGCCTTCGGGCGCCGAGAGGCTGGGGCAGCTCACGGGGCAGGAGTTGCCGCAGAGCTCGTAGTGGCTGTTGGCTGGACACTGGATGGCTGCGGGGGTGAGACGGGATGGGCGTGAGGCTTCCCCTGGGACAACACACCCAGGTACCAGGATCGGACCCAGCACCTCCCACGGGGTGGGGGCAACACCCTCTGACCAGGTGTGTGTCACACCCTAAAACTTCTAAGTGTCCAGTGAGTGTCTGGTCATGGATGTGTGACCAGGATACAAGGGTTAGGATCAGCCACAGGTATCCCGGGGCGTGCGCCTGTGGGGCTGTGCCTGGCCTGGGTGTCCGAGCACCTGCTGGAATCTCCCCGACTCCGTTTGTTTTAGGGTGTGACTCTGACCCACAGTTTCGACGGGGACAGCTTCGTGCGCCTCCGCGTGCCGGCGGCCTACGCGGGCGCCCTCTGCGGCCTGTGCGGGGACTACAACTAGGTCTGGTTGTTGAAGCTGCCAGGATGCACCTGACCGAGGAGATCTATCTGTCCAAAAGGAACTGCAGGGACTCCCGGACCCTTTCTTAGGCAGCTGTTTGGGGTCCTCAGAGCCCTGACCGTACGTGTACCTGACCAGTCTGTCGCCGCGCATAGTCTAACAGACACCTCGCTGGTCCCTGAGCCCAGGAAGAGGGAAGAAGCTGGGGAGAGGAGGAGGCGCCTGCTTTGTGAACGTGCAAGGGCCAGTACTCACAACAGAAGTCCGGCAGCCTCCATTCGCCGATCTCGGCCCCGGCGGCCTGACAGGCAGCCACATAGGCGGCCACCGCAGGGCAGAAGCCTCCCGGATGGCCCTGGGCCTGGCAGGCGTCCAGCAGGCAGGCCTGGAAGTACTGCTCCGGCGGCACGATGCAGTGGCAGGGCCCCAGCGGGCCTTTGCGGGACATGATCACCCCGCAGGCGTCGGGGCCGCCGAAGGGCTCCTGCTCCTCGGGCGTGCACGGCTCCGGGCACGGCTCGGGCTCGCACTTTTCGCAGCCCGGCTCACCGCCCACCTGCCAGCCCTCGGGCTTCCCGTTCACCGCTGCCAGGTCGTCGGCCGAGTTCTCGTTGTAGTCCCCGCACAGGCCGCAGAGGGCGCCCGCGTAGGCCGCCGGCACGCGGAGGCGCACGAAGCTGTCCCCGTCGAAACTGAGCGAGATCCCGGCGGCCGTGGTCACCACCACGTCGGCGCTGCTCACATACGCGTTCAGGCGCGAGTCCAGCTGGAAGGGCAGCGTCACGAACTCGCCGTCCACCTGCGGGCGTGGGGCAGGGCGGGGCGGGCCAGTCAGGTTCGAAGCCCGTCTCCACCACCTAGGAGCTGTGGGACTCTGAGTCCAGGGCTTCTTGTAGTAAAAACAACAGGCTCTTGACGCCACCCTGCAGCACATGACTTCTTGGGCCCATTTCTCGTAGGAATAAACTAAGGCTCAGCGCAGGGGGAGGGGGAGCCACTGCCTCACACCATCCAGCTCCCAGGCCTATGCTCCAGACCCCGTCCATCAAGTCCCAGCTAAGCTGTAAGGTGTTCAGGGACCTGGCGGACCTCTTACCGTCCCAGGCAACCCCAGGGCCGGCACCTGCTCCTGTGCGGCCCATGCCCTCCTCACCTGTAGCTGCCGAGGCCAGCGGGCGCTGAGGGTCAGGCGGTGGTCGTAGATATACAGGGTGACACTGCGGGTGTAGCTGACAGCCTGGCTGCCCCGGTGCTCGTTGACAACGGTGACGGTGAAATTCTCAGTCCCGGCCGGCGGCTCAGAGCAGGGTGCACTCAGCAGGTACTCGCAGGTGCCTTGGAAGTCGAATCGGTGCCCGTCCAGGGTGACGTAATGGGGGTCACCCCAGGCCTGGCACTCCGCAGTGCTCACTGGTTGGCAGCCGTACTGGCCCGAGGACAGCAGGGCACATGCCTCGCCCTTGGCGCAGCTGGCAGGTGTGCAGACCAGCGAGCCGCCCTCAGCCCCACAGCGGCACCGCTGGGAGCATGTGGCGTCCGTCCAGAACTCGCTGCCGGTCTCATAGTAGGTGCTGTTGGCCCAGCAGCCGCAGCCGCCCTCCAGGGGCACGCAGCGCCCAGCGCTCAACACGAAGCCCGTGTCGCACTGGCAGCCCTCCACGCAGGAACCTTCACAGAGGGCTGAGGTCTTGGTGGACTCAGGAGCCGGGCAGCTGGCTGGGCAGGGTGAGCCACAGAGCTCGTAGTGGCTGTTTTCAGGGCAGGAGACCCCTGCGGGCGGGTGGGAGAGGGAGAAAGAGGGAAGGATGTTAGGGGTGGGGTCCAAGGACACGGTGGCAAAATACAGAAACCAAGGGGCTGACAGAGAGAGGAAGAGAGACAGAGACCGAAGGAGAGAGAGCAAGAGGCACAGAGAGGGATACAGAGAGACCCAAAGGGAGACACACAGAGAAGCGCCGAGAGACAGGCGCTCGGGAACAGAAATACAAGAAGAACCCAGAAGGGCTGGAGAGCAGTCAAGCCCGCCTGGCAGACAGGACCCCACCCCCAGCCTCTGCCCCCTCCCCGGCACTCACCACAGCCGGCCTGCTCCCTCCATTCCTGGATGGCGACGCCAGCGGCCTGGCAGGCAGCCGCATAGCTAGCCAGCGCCTGGCAAAGTATGTCCTGAGCCCCACCACTCAGGCACACGTCCAGGACACAGCCCTGGAAGTAGCTGTCGGGCGACACGTGGGCGAGGCAGTCGGCGAAGGGGCTCTCGGTCCCGGGGACCAGGGGGCCGCAGAAGCCAGGGCCCTGGTACTTCTCCAGCAGGTCCTCAGAACACGTCGGGCAGGAGCCCTGGCACTCGTCCCAGCACAGTGGGTCCCAGCCTGGGGCCCGCCAGCTGCCACCCCAGGCGGGTATGGAGGGAGCGGCTGTGCCGTTGGGAAAGACTTGGTCATTGTTGGGGTCGCCATCCAGGTTTCCACAGAGCCCGCACACGGCGCCGTGATAGCTGCTGGGCAGGATCACCTCCACGCGATTGTCCCAGTCATAGGTGACCTGCAGCCCAAAGTCTGTCACCAGCACAGCCTTCCACACTCCATGGGACACGTAAATCCGCCCGCCGGCCGCGGAGACAGGCAGCGTCGTCAGCACGCCGTTCACCTGGCGGAGGGGGAAGCAGGTGCCTGGGTCACTCAGGGTGGGAGGCCCCAGCTCTCGACTCCCCACCTTGTCCTGACGGGGGTTGGGAGCTGCCATGGCTTTCCCCCCGCCTGAAAGTTGTATAGCCGTTTGACAATGTCATGAACATCTGTTCCCGTCTTTGTGTCTGCTTCTTCCTCTGGATTGCTCTCTCCTCCCTCTCTGTTGCTTCACCTGGGTCTAGCTCTCTTGCTGGACCTCCGCTTCTCCCTCTTTCTTTGGGTCTCTGCACTCCCTCCCGTCACTGTCCTCTCTGTCTCTGGCTCTCCCCACTGGCCGTACACACTCTCTGTGCACTCCTGTGCGCATGCCCATCTTAGTGTCTGCTGAGTGGACCCACATGGCTCTTCCCTGGGCAGAAGCAGAGGCCCACCTCTCTGCCCTCACCTCCCTGGATTTCCCTCTGGGTCCGAGTCTCCAGGCCTCTTAATCTGCTCTCTGGAGCTCATCTGGGCCAGACTCTGAGCTGGGCACATGGCCCACCCACCAGCACCTGGGAAGCAGAGCTTGGATTCAAACCCAAGTCTACTGAGAGGCAGATGCCGAAGTGCTCAGCACAGAGCTAAGCCTGTTTGTTCGGTGGCTGATTTGGTTCAGGCCTAGGGGAATACAGAGAACCTCGGCTCCTCACTGGGGCTGTCAGGGCTCCCCCAGCCCTCCTGGGGGTTCAGGGGACCACCTTGCCACACATACCCTGACTTTGCCCGTCTCGCCCTTGTGGATGGAGATGTTGGTGCCCAGGACAGACACGGTGACCTCCTTCACATAGGACACGGTGGGGTTGCCCCGGTTCTCATTCTTGGTGGTGATGGTAAAGGGTGTCAGGCCCTCGGCGTCCACCCCCGGGCAGCCAACTTGCACCAGAATGTAGTTGCAGGTGCCTTGGAAGTCAAAGGCCCGGCCGTCGAAGGTGTTGTAGTGTGGGTCGCCCCACAGCCAGCACGTGGCGTTGTAGTTGGGCACACACACACCCTGGCCGTCCTGCTCCTTGCAGGTCTCCTGGGGCCGGCACGTGACACCCTGGCATGGGTCTGGGGGCAGAGGAGAGAAGACCTCAGGCTGTGCCAGGGACACCGGCCCCGAGGACTACCACAGGAGAGAGCAGATCCAAGGTTTACTTCTAAGATCCCACAGATGCTGTTTCTTTCTTTCTTTTTTTTTTTTTTTTTTTTTTTTTTGACAGGCAGAGTGGACAGTGAGAGAGAGACAGAGAGAAAGGTCTTCCTTTGCCGTTGGTTCACCCTCCAATGGCCGCCGCAGCCAGCGCGCTGCGGCCGGCGCACCGCGCTGATCCGATGGCAGAAGCCAGGAGCCAGGTGCTTTTCCTGGTCTCCCATGGGGTGCAGAGCCCAAGCACCTGCGCCATCCTCCACTGCACTCCCTGGCCACAGCAGAGAGCTGGGCTGGAAGAGGGGCAACCGGGACAGAATCCGGCACCCCAACCAGGACTAGAACCCGGTGTGCCGGCGCCGCTAGGCGGAGGATTAGCCTAGTGAGCCATGGCGCTGGCTCAGATGCTGTTTCTAAGACCAGGCCCAGGGAGTCCTCCAGGTCTGGCACTCAGGCCCTGGGCCAGGCTGTGTCTAAGACATGAGCATCCAGAGTTGCCACATCTGAGACCCAGCTCCCGGGGTCCCCAGGGTTTTCTTTGCAGGGGACCTAGGTTGAGACCTGAACCTCAGGAGTCCTTGGGTTTGCGATGCCAGCCCTGAGGGCGCCTGTGTCTGCGATGCCGGCCTCAGGGTGTCCATATGGGACCTGGGCCCTAGCTTCCTCCATAGCTGAGGTCCTAGCCCTGTGGGCTTCTCTGCATCTGAGACCCACGTCTTAGGGCTCTCTGTGCCCAACACCAAGGTCCTAGAGGACTTCCTGGGAAGAACCAGTGGCAGGGGTCCCAACATGCTTCCTGGGGCCCCTGTGTTTCAGCCTCATGGCCTTGGAGGCGCCTCCAGATTTGCCTTTCACTGAGGGTCTCTGACATGTGCTCTGGGAAACCTGGCCTGGAAGGTCCCCAAGACAAGGGAGTCTCTGCTGCTGGCCCTGAAAGATCAATGCAGGGCCTGAGACCTCATCCTCAGTCTTCTGCACCTCCCACCATGTACACCGCTGCCACGCCCCTCTTGGCTCCTGGCCCCGTGTCCCCTGTGCCTCGCCAGTCCCAGCCCCAGCCCCAGCCCAGTACCTTTGGAGACGCAGCTCAGGACGCCTCCCGAGGGCTCGCACACCTGCCCCGGCTTGCAGCTGTGTTCCTGACACGTCACGCCTGTGCCTGAGTGGCACACGCACTGCTGCTGGCAGTTGTCAGTCAGTACCGTCTGCTCCGGCTGCAGGGACATAAGGCATGGCCATCAGGGACCCTGTGGACAGCATGGCCTTGGGACCCAATGCATACATTCACTTCCACTCATTCATTCAGCTCTGCAGTGTGGGAGAAAGAGTGTGGCGGGAATTCGGAGCGGGCCATCTGAAGTCCGTCTCTGCTGTCTCCAGACTATGATACTCTGGGCAAATTACTTAGCCTTGTTCTGCCTCAGTCTCCTCACCTGCAATCTGCAGATAACAACAGCACCTACCCGTGCAAGCCTGAGTTAGCAGCACATAGAAAGTATACGTCGGATGAAAAGAGGCTTCCGGCCAATCATCCCAGTAGGAGATGGAAGGAGGCTAGAGAACACGACTGGGGAAGACGTCAACTTTGGCAGCCCCAGGGATGCTCAGACACGTGGAGGTTCGTTCTATTGTTCTCTGAACTTTCGCAAGTTTGAACATCGTCATAATAAAAAGCTTACGTCCATAGGCAGTGCGTGTAAAACATACACACAGCAAGGGCACCCAGGAAGCACCATCCGCGTGTTTCCTGCTTACTGTGGACGAGTTACTGCTCTTATGCATGGGAGGAGAACAGAGAGGCCCCTGCCCTCGTAGAGCTCACAGCCCTGTGAGGGAGATGCACGTCGGACAAACTCTACTCAGCTGAAATGAGGACTAACACAGGGCTGGGTGTTTGCCCAGCGGGGTCTATGCGGCTGCCGGGGGCGCCTGCATCCCGTATCAGAGTTGCCTGCTTCAAGTCCCGGCTCCTCCGCTTCCAGTCTGGCTCCCTGCTAATGTGCACCCTGGGAGGCCACAGGTGCCGGCTCCAGTACTCAGGAGACCTGGATGGAGTTCTGGGCTCCTGGCTCTGGCGGCTGTTGTGGACATTTGGGAAGTGAACCAGTGGATGGATGAGAAAGAGAGAAAGAGAGAGAGAGAGAGGGAGAGAGACGGAGAGAGAGAGGAAGAGGGAGAGAGAGAGGAAGAGGGAGAGGGAGACAGAGAGGGAGAGGGGGAGGGGGAGGGGGATGGATGATTTCTCTCTGTTTCTCTTTCTGCCTTTCATATAAAATGAAAATAAATATATAAAAACATTTTTTAAAAAGGACCGACAGTGAGAGAGTGGACGAGGGACGCGGAGTTGGCCAGGTGGGATAAAGACCAAATCTCATCCTTGTGGTCCTAAGAGCCACCTTTGTCCACGCCTGAGCCCCAAAGCCCCAACTTGATGTGGGCAGCAAGGGTATCCCAGGGCCCACAGTCATATTTAGAAAGAGCTCCCCCACTGGCAAATGGATGGTCATCCAGAGGCCGGAAAATGGGGGTAGGAGAGATCCAGGTGGGGAAAAGGAGCTGGGCAAGCGAGAGGCGTGGGCAGGAGTGGACAGACTGGGGGAAGAGCGGTGGTGGGAGGGGGCTCAGGACGAGGTCCCAGGAGCGGCCCTCCAGGGAGGGGGGGTGTCCGCGATCCTACCTCGTAGTAGACACCGTTGTGGTAGCAGCCACACTGCTGGATGGGCACGCAGGCTTCACCGTTGTAGTAGAAGTCAGGGTCACACTGGCAGCCCTCAGCACAGCCATCCGGGCACTGCACGGAGCCGCTGAGAGCCGAGCAGCCCAGGGAGCAGGTGTCTGCGCACAGCTCGTAGTGGCTGTGAGGGGGGCACTCCATCGCTGCAAGGAGGGGGCACCCGTCAGAGCCCTGCAAGGGCAGCACGGCACGAGCCCCACCGTCTGGGTCTCAATGTCCCTGCCCCTGCCCTGCGGGGTCCCCCTCACTCACGACAGAACTTTTCATTCCTCCAGGGCTGAACCTGGCCTCCAGCTGCCTGGCAGGCGCTCACGTAGGCGTGGATGTGGCCGCACAAGATGCTCTCGTTCCCGCCGCCCAGGCAGAGGTCGAAGACACAGTCTTGCAAGGAGTTCTGAGGATCCAGCAGCTTGTGGCAGGAGGACAGCGGGCCCGTGGAGCTGGTGAGCAGCCCACAGAACTCCTCCTTCTTGTACTGCTCCTCCAGCTCGGGGGTGCACTTGCAATCTGCATCCGAGTCGCACTCAGGGGGCGGCAGGCAGGGCGAGCCCGGCACGGCCTCCTCCCAGGAGTTGCCGAAGTCGTTGGGGTTGGCCGCCTGTGAGCCGTTGCGCTTCTGGAAGTCGTCCTCGGCCTTGCCGTTGTAATCACCACAGAGGCCACACATCTGCTGGTAGTAGTTGCCCGGGACAGTGACCCGCACGTAGTACATGAGGTCGTAGACCACGCGCAGGCCGAAGTCGGTCTCGATCACCACGTCCGAGCCGTGCTGGTTGATGCGGATCTCGCCCTTGTCCAGCTCCACCGGCGGCTTGAGGTCCACGCCGTCCACCTGGGAGGCGGGAGGAGCAGGGTCTCAGAGGGTGGGTTCGGCCCAGCCACACCCGCTACAGCCCCTGCCCGACAGTGAGGGTCTGTGGTGCCTCACCTCCCTGAGTTGTGGTTTCTGTATTTGTGAAATGGGTATAATAATAGAGTCTTATAGGGGGTTGGATGCTGGTCTCCAAAATATATGTCTACTTAGAATCACAGACTGTGACTTTAGGGGCTCGTCTCATGGCACAGCATGTTAAGCCACTGCCTGTGATGCGCCGGCATCCCCTGTGAGCACTGGTTTGAGTCCCAGCTGTTCTGCTTCTGATCCAGCTTCCTGCTAAGTGCCTGGGAAAGCAACAGAGGATGGCCCAAGTACTTGGGCCCCTGTACCCAAGTGGGAGGATCCGGATGGAGTTCCAGGCTCCTGGCTTCAGCCTGGCCCAGCTCTGGCTGTTGTGGGTATTTGGGGGCATGACCCAGCGGATGGAAGATCTCTCTCTCTCTCTCTCTCTCTCTTTCTCTTTCTCTATCTCTGCAATTATTTCAAATAAATAAATATTGTTTTTTCAACAGCAGAATGTGACTTTGGAATAAGAATCTTCATGGACATAATTAGGGGAATGACCTGGAGAGGAGATTAGGGCGGGCCCTGTATCCAGTGACAAGCCGGAAGACACAGAGCAGAGGGCCGTGTGAACGTGAAGGAGCGGGGAGGCGTGGGGGGGGGGGGGCTGCCGTGCATCCAGGTGATCACCAGCCCTGACTGGAAGGCTTCATTTTAACGGGTGAGCGGCCACTGAAGGTTTTTGCTTTAAACACTGAAGGCTGGAAGGCCAAGCTACATTCCTGGGCAAATGACCTTCAGCCCCGAGAGCTGTGGACCCGTGGTTTCAGCCAATGGCTGCTGGCCACTGGCAAAGCTGTGCAAACCCACCCCGATTAACCCACTTGCTCCTCGTTCCGTGGGGGCAGATGTGGTGCACGCTGGAGTCTTTTGGAGTGTGAGGAATCAGGGGAGGAGGCAGGAGAAAGGCGGGTTCCTGGCTGTGTCTGTCCCCACAGAGCATAACCAACTGCTGGACTTCCCAAGCAGAGAACTGACTTCACCTGTGCCTCGCCTTGCTCCTCTGCATAGTGGGGATGATACTTCCTACTTCTCAGGGAAGCGGGGGTGGGGTGGGATGTAGTGAGATGTCAATTACAAGAAGCTTAGAGCAAACCACAGTCGGGGCGCTGCTCTAAGAGCTGGGCTGGGTTGGGGGCTGTATTAAGCTATGTCATGTGTGATGAAGTCATCTACTGATCCAGGACAGGACCAGAGCAGTGGCTGTGTGGGAGTGGGGTCTCTGAGAAAGTCCCCTCCCCTCCAGTGCAGCCGAAATGCCAGTTTCTTAGGCCAACAGCCGGACCTCCTCATCTACAAAAAGAGAGTTAATCGTGGTGCCTCCAGCTGCCACAGGGAAGACAGAGTGACCTGTGGGCTCGACGCAGGGTCCGGGCTCAGCCTGCAAAGTCTGTAGCTACTGTGGTTGTCGAGTCGGGGACAGGGTCACCCCCACACCCCATCTTCTGTCCTTGGACCCTGCCCACTCTCTGATCTTTCCCAACCTCTGATAGGGTGGGAGATGAAGGAGGGGGCTGGGACGGGTTAGGGGAGGGGTGGCGAGAGGATGGAGAAGGAGGGAGGAGGGGGTGGAAGAGGCCTTCAGACAGGACAGTGCAGCGTAGGCCGAGGGGCCGAAGGCGGAGAGGTGGAGGGGCACAGACAGGGGAGATCAGGCCGCACCCCCACTCCAGCACCGCCCCTCCCATGCAAGCCGTGGTTCTCACCGTGACCTTCTGCTGACTCTGCTCCAGACGTATGGTGTGGTTGCCCACGAGGACCGTGATTGCTTTGGTCACGCTGACCTGTCCGTTGCCCCAGGCCTCGTTCTCCTGCAGGACGGTGAACTGGGGCCGGCCGGGCGGGGTCCCGCAGGTCTGAGCCAGCACGTACACACAGGTGCCCATGAAGTCAAAGCGGCTGCCATCGAATGTGACGTAATGGGGGTCTCCGGATGCCTGACACGTGGCAGAGCCCACAACCACGCAGCCCAGGACGCCACCAGACAGCTGGCACTCCTCTTGCGGGCCGCAGGAGGAGTCCTCACAGGACACCAGGCCACCCTCCTGGCAGTGGCACAGGGAGTCGCACCCGGGGCCAGGGTGGAAGGTCTGGCCTGGCTGGTAGTAGGAGCCCTGGTATACACAGCCACAGGAGGCCAGGGGCACGCAGGACTCGCCGCTGAGCACAAAGCCTTCATCGCACACGCAGCTCTCGTAGCATTCTGAGCCACAGCCCCCGGACACCGGGAGGTCCCCGCAGCTCAGCGGGCAGCCGCGGGCACAGGACTCATAGTGGCTGTGCTCTGGACAGCTCCGTGCTGCAGAGAGAGAGGCCGTCAGTCAAACTTCCTGCTCCCAGCCTGACATGGCTGACCCTCAACATATACATGTGTGTAACATGTACTCACACACATACATGTGCATAACGTGAACACACACGCACACGCACACACACACACACTAGAAGCCCCTGGGTCCAGTGAGGCCTGGGGAACACACTTGACCATTGTGAATCTGATTATCTGATTGTGATCACTGCAGTTCTGTTCCAGTCTGACCACAGTTTGGGATCATCTGTGATGTCTTTTCTTTCTTTCTTTCTTTCTTTTTTTTTTTTTTTTTTTTTTTTTTTTTTTTTTTTTGGACAGGCAGAGTCAGACAGTGAGAGAGAAAGACAGAGAGAAAGGTCCTCCATTTTCTGTTGGTTCACCCCGCCAAGTGGCCGTCACGGCCAGTGCATTGCGGCCAGCATGCTGCGCAGATCCGAAGCCAGGAGCCAGGTGCCCCCTCCCGGTCTCCCATGCAGGTGCAGGGCCCAAGGACCTGGGCCATCCTCCACTGCACTCCCGGGCCACAGCAGAGAGCTGGACTGGAAGAGGAGCAGCCAGGACAGAATCCAGCACCCCAACCGGGACTAGAACCTGGGGTGTCGGTGCCGCAGGCGGAGGATTAGCCCAGTGAGCCGCGGCGCCAGCCTGTGATGTCTTTAACAGTCCTGTTTAACTTGGCTGTAGGTTGGTGATAAGTTACAAATTTTATTTATTTATTTATTTATTTGTGTATTTTTAAAAGACATTTATTTATTTGAAAGGGAGACTAGGAGAGAGAGAGAGAGAGAGAGAGAGAGAGAGAGACAGTACTTCCACCTGCTGGTTCACTCCCCAGATGGCTGTAATGGCCAGAGCTGGGCCAGGCCAAAGCTGGATGCCAGGAGCTTCTTCCAGGCCTCCCACCTAGGTGCAAGGGCCCAAGCACATGCGCCATCTTCTACTGCTTTCCCAGGCCATGTCACAAAGCTGGACTGGAAGTAGAGCAGCCAGAACTTGAACCAGCACCCACATGGGACACTGGCATTGCAGACGGCAGCTTCACCCGTTACACCTCAATGCCAGCCCCACAGCACGGTTCTAGATCCAACAGCCAGTTCAGAGCAGAACCAAAGAGCAGAGGGGAAGTGGGAAATGCTGCTGCCAGTATGCTGGCCGGCTCCTGTCATGTGATGTCCCATGCTACTTTCAGCCCTCACCAGATGCAGCCCCTACACCTTGCACCTCAAGAACAGCGGCCCCACATAACCCTCCTCTCTTTATAAAGATGCCTACCCCAGGTGTTTCACTATAGCGACGAAAATCTGGCTGATGCAAGGGGGTAGACAGTGGTAGCTAATGAGCCAGCAGGTAGAGGGCAAATAGGTTGTGGAGCATGGGCTGGGGGGGTATTGACAATCACTGTAAAATTCTTTCAACTTTTCTTTACATCTAAAAAACTTCATAATGATATAAGGGCATTTCAGAAGGGTCGTGGAAGGTGGAATTAAAAGAAAAGCTTATTTGAGTGCAGTTTTTATTTTCATAATACATATTTCCCATGAACTTTTTTTGCAGTCCCACATGTGTTGGGGGGAAAGGAAGGAAGTTTTTACAGAATAAAAATGACTTAAAAGGGGCCAGCACAGTGGCACACTAGGTTAATCCTCCACCTGCAGCACCGGCATCCCATATGGGCGCCGGGTTCTAGTCCCGGTTGCTCCTCTTCTAGTCCAGCTCTCTGCTGTGGCCCGGGAAGGCAGTGGAAGATGGCCCAAGTCCTTAAGCCCCTGCACCCATGTGGGAGACCCGGAAGAAGCTCCTGGATCCTAGCTTTGGATCGGCGCAGCTCTGGCCATTGTGGCCATCTGATGAGTGAACCAGCAGATGGAAGACCTCTCTCTCTGCCTCTACCTCTCTGTAACTCTGCCTTTCAAATAAATGAAGTTTCTTTAAAAAAAAAAAAAAGCCCCTTTCTGTCACTGAATAGCAAGCACTTGCTGAAGTATTTATAGAAAAGCTCATATGTCTAGAATTTGCTTTAGAATATTTCAGAAAAAATGAAGAGTGACAGGAGGCAGAAGATAGTTCTAATGACCACAGAAGCTCAGGCTGGGGGGCGTAGGGTCAGGCCCTGCCCTGCTCCTTCTAGAACTTCTGAAGGTGCAAGGGCCAAGAGCTGTTAAAGGAAATAAGAGAGTGTCCATTTGCACAGGCATCACCGAGTGTGGCAATTCACAGGACACAGGACACACTTGCTGGGCTCAAGTCTCTGTGCTATGCTGGGTGACCTCAGGCAAGTTACTCACCATCTCTGGGCACTTCTTCATCTTATACAATGGAAACAGGACAGAGTCAGCCCCACAGGGTGACAGTGAGGAGTCAAAGACGACATGAAGCCCCCAGAACAGAGCCTGGTTACACCAGCGCCAGCTAGCGCCATGCGGGCCCTTCCTTAAATGGCGGCCTGAGATGTGCCGGCACAGGGGGCATCCCCGCTTCTCAGCATCCCAGTGTCCTTTCCCAAGCACGTGCTCCCACTTGACAGGGGAGAACAGTGCAGCCTCCTCTCCTCCCAAATCTCACCCCGGAGTGCCGCCCTGGGGTGAGAGAACTCGCAGGGACAGAAAGGGACATGGTTGCAAACGTCACTAAGGTTGTGAGGACAAAGGGTGATGCATCATTATGGGCAAAAAATTCCTTCCAGTTCTCTGCTCCCAAAAAGATGGAATAAGGGCCTGATAGAATCGGCCGCTCAAAAATCACATGCACACCAAAAACACCCATGGATTTTCTAGTGTCCTGTGCTCCTTCCCTGTGACTCAGAAGCGATTCAACTAGTGGACAGAGGTCTCGCCAGGATTCCGGCCACCCCCACCCGCTTAAAATCCTGTTCCTGCGAAAGTGCGCCCTGGGACAGCCTGGATGGGGGCCCCGGCCTCATTTTAACAATGTGTGTGAAACACTGGTGAAGCAGAGTCCCATTCGTCTCATGGAAAGATATCTTTGGGGCCAGCAGGTGGCGCAGTGGGTTAAGCCACCTCCTTTGACACTGGCATCCCATATGGGCACCGGTTTGAGTCCCCGTCACTCCACTTCAGATCCCACTCCCTGATAATGTGCCTGGAAAACAGCGGAGGATGACCCAAGTGCTTGGGTCTCTGCTACCCACACGGGAGACCTCAAAGAAGCTCCTGGCTCCTGGCTCCTGGCTCCTAGCTCCTGGCTTTGGCCTGGTGCAGCTCTGGCTGTTGTAGCCATTTGAGGAGTGGATCAGCAGAAGGAAGATCTCTCTGTCTCTCCTTCTCTCTCTGTAACTCTCTTTCAAATAAATAAATCATTTTTAAAAAAGAAAGATCTCTTTTAGGTTAGGCACTTGGTCCCATGATGAAGCTCCTGTTTTGGACGCCTGCACCCCGCATGGGAGTGCCCGGGTTCAAATCCTAGCTTTGCACCTTAGGAGGCAGTGGTGATGGCTAAAGCGGTTGGGTTCCTACCACATATGTGGGAGACCTGGACCGGGTTCCAGGCTTCTAGCTTTTAGCCTGTCCCAGCCCTGGCTTTTGCAGGCATTTGAGGAGTAAATCAGTGGAGATCTCTCTCTCTCTCTCTCCCTCCCTCCCTCCCTCCCTCAAATAAAGAATAAGCAAATGGTAAAAAATCACTTAAAAATTCTTTTAGAACAAATAATCATTGTTTAGGAAGACAGAGGCTTTCACTGCTGGGCCAGCACTGTGGTGCAGGGTGTTAAGCCACCATCTGCGACACCGGACCCCATATTGGAGCGCCAGTGCAAATCCTGGCTGTCCCATTGCGGATCCAGCTCCCTGCTGGGTGCCTGGGAAAGAGCAGAGCATGGCCCAAGTGTTTGGGCCTCTGCTACTCACATGGGAGATCTGGATGGAGTTTCTGGTTCCTGGCTTTGGCCTAGACGAGACCTGACTGTTGCAGCTGTTTGGGGAGTGAACCAGTGTCTCTTTCTCTCTCTCTCTGTACTCTTTCTAATAAATCTTTTAAAAAAGGACTGTCATACCCCTACTGCCTGGGATGTGGCACAGGGCCAACAAATACATTATGACAGGCACATGTTCTGTGAGGTGCATTATTGAGCAGTTTAGTTGTGTGAACACCATGAAGTGCCCTAACACAAACTAACACAGTGAAGGCCCCGCCAGTCTCACAGAAACACTATCGTATATGCAGCCCACTGCTGACTGAGACACCATTATATGGTACACGAGTGCATTTGATCAGTGAACGGACGGGTGGATGGACGGTTGAAGGCATCCACCCATTTCTCATGGAATCTGCAGGGGGCAGTGGTGGGCTCTACTGTGTACTGTGTCTCTGTTGAATACATTGAAGAGAGTTACATCAGTAACAGTTGCCTGCTAAGATGTCAACATTATATTAATAATGGTAGCAATTTTCTGGTGGATATATGCAGGTTCATCATCCTGGTCTACTTTTGGGTATGTTGGAATTTTTCCATAATAAAATGTATTTTAAAAGTAAAAAGTTACTATTTGTTGGGAATTATATCTTTTGTGATTATTTACACCAAAGAAGAAAGCTAATGATGTATGTTTCCATTTATATGAAGTTCAACAATTTTAGAAGTCAAAATATTGGTTACCTCTTGGGATGGGGGTCTTGGTATGCTCATTTGAAATTTTTGTACATTTATTTATTTTCATTTTTATTTGAGAGACAGTGAGACAAAGAGACAGAGACATCTTCCATCTGCTGGCTCACTCTCCAAATCCTGAAACAGCCAGGGATGGACCAGGTCAAAACCAGGAACCAGGAACTCCATCAGGGTTTCTCATGTGGTTGGCAGCGACCTAAGCACTTGAGCTGTCACTGCTGCCTCCCAGGGTGCACATTAGCAGGAAGGTGTGTCGGAAGCAGAGTCAGGACTTGAACCCAGGCACTATGATATGGGATACAGGAATCCCAAGTGACATCTTAACCACTGTGCCAAACGCCCGCCCCTGTTCTTTCTCTGAACGTGGGCTGTCTACTCAGATACGCTCTCTTACTGAAAAACTGATCAAGTGGTTCCCTTACCCAGGTCTTTTTGAATATGTACATTGTATCCCAAGATTTTTAAAAATCAGGTGAGGGTGAGGCCTGAACTGTGGCATAGTAGGCTAATCCTCTGCCAGAGGCACCGGCATCCCATATGGGCACCGATTCTGGTCCTGGCTGCTCCTCTTCCAATCTAGCTCTCTGCTATGCCTGGGAAAGCAGTGGAAGATGGCCCAAGTGTTTGGACCCCTGCGCCTGTGTGGGAGACACAGAAAAGGATCCTGGCTCCTGGCTTCGGATGGGCTCAGCTCCAGCTGTTGTGGCCGTTTGGGGAGTGAACCAATGGATGGAAGACCTCTCTCTCTGTCTCTCCTTCTCATAGTCTGTAACTCTACCTCTCAAATAAACTTTTAAAAAAATCAGGTGAGGGGAAGCGTGGTTTTCCAAATGCACAGGTGAGCAAAAACGTTTGCAGGTCATCCCTGCACCCGCATCCACAGCCAGGCTCTCAGACGCGCTGCCCAAGGGGCCTGGCAGGTGGGGTGAGTGGAGCAGGCCAGCTGGGGACCAGGAGGACCTGGATGGGGGCCGTGCCTCTTCTAAGGCAGCACCGCTGATGCCCTCTGAGTGACAGCTGCCACGTGGGCTTCAGACGTGCGGCCGCTGGATGTCACCTGTCATTTCACAAACATTGGCGGCCACGCCTACCATCTGTGACTTGCTGGTTGTGGTGACCCTGCAGCCCTGCCTTGCTGAACCTCACTTTCCTCATCTCCTAAGTGAGTAGAACCACAGCCCCTGCATCACAGCGCTGTTCTAAAGATTCAGTGAATGAATGATATTGACATGCTCACGCATACATACATCCTCGCCACTCTGGTACTCACGGCAAAGCTCCTCGCTCCTCCAGGGCTCCACGGTGGCCCCGGCAGCCTGGCATTCAGCAGCGTATGTAGCCAAAGCATCACACAGTAGCTCAGACTGGCCAGGCAGCAGGCAGAGGTCATACACACAGTCGCGCAAGGCACCCTGGGGGTCCAGCTTCTTGTGACAGTCCCGGAAGGGTCCTTCAGGGTCAGCAAGGATCCCACACTCCTTCTTGCTCTGCAGCTGCTGGGTCACCTGCGAGTCCAGCGTGGGACAGTCCCCGGCGTCACTCGCCCCACAGCCAGGTCTCGTCCCCTCCTGCCAGCTGTTCCCGAAGTCCAGAGCATTGGCAGCCTGGTTCCCATCGCGCAGAGCCAGGTCATCGCTGGGGTCCCCGTTGAAGTTCCCACAGAGTCCACACAGGGCCTTCGCGTAGCTGCTGGGCACCTTGACGGTCACCAGGGCGTCCCAGTCGTAGGTGACAGTCAGGCCAAAGTCCGTGCGCACGACAGCATTGTTGCCCTGGCGGAACAGCTGCACCCGCCCATCGGCTGCTTGGAAGGGCAGGTTCTTCAGGACGCCATCCACCTGGGGGGAGAGGCAGGAGGGTGCAGAGGCCAGGCATTCCTGGCCCCATGGCTCACCCCCCTCCCACTTGGCTCCAGCTTCCCTGGCCTCCTTGCTACTCTCTGGAAGGTAACATGCTCAGTTCTGCCTCAGGGCCTTGGCACCTGCTGTTTCCTTCTGCCTGGAACGCCGTCCACTGACCTGGTTCTTCAGGCATCAGCTTAAATGCAAACCTCTGACTCAGGGCCCTCAAAGCCTGCCTGCTCTGTCTCCCTGCCACCCCCTGAGCTTCCCTCCTCCCACTCTGCCCCTCCCTCTGCTCCAGCCCTGTGGGCTTGCTCAGGAGCCCTCAGCTGCCCCAGCTCAGCCTGGCCTCAGGATCATCACACTTACCCCCTCCTCCCCGCCTTTGGGATTTGCCTTCAATCCAGGCCCCTTCCCTATAAAGTCCTGATTGACCCCTGCCCTGTCCACTCCTGTGTCCACACCACTCACTCAGCCCCAGCCGCTCTGGCCTCTTGTTGTGTCTCTGGGCACATCAAATGCATTCCCATCCCCAACCTCAGGACCTCTGCACTTGCTATGCCCTCATCGCTCTTCCCGGGACCACTTCCATCCACCTCACCTGTTAGGTTCAGCTTTGATCCAAACCCTTTACAATGGCCTGAAAGAACCCCAGTTTAACCCCCCAGTATGGCCCACCCCCAACTCCTGCCACTCCAGGCAGGCGGGCATCTTGAGCACACGAAGCCCCACCCAACTCTACCAAAGCCCCACCCAGCCTCACTGAAGCCCTGCCCAGCCTCACTGAACTCCGCCCAGCCTCACTGAACTCCGCCCAGCCTCACTGAATCCCCGCCCAGTCTCACCGAACTCCGCCCATCCTCACTGAAGCCCCGCCCAGTCTCACTGAAGACCAGCTACTTCACAGGGTTGTGGTACAGATTAAACAGGTTGATGCATATGGATACAGCACATTAAATTAACCCAGTATGTGTTGGTTGGTATTCTCCAAGCCTCAGCCCAAGTGTCATCTCAGAGCAGTGACTAGAAATACAGTCAAAATTCTGTCCCGTTTCTCTAGAGTGTTCTCTGGGGGCAGCATTTCCTTTATTCCGAGGTTGTCGTGAGGGTGATGAGTTAAGATGTATGAAGGGTTTAGAGTGGTGTTGGACACATCATCCACCCCTCTCCCCAGGCTACAGGCCACTGCTCAGTACCAAATACCAGCCACAACAGTCCCACGTCTCCATGTCTACCTTCTAACACAAAGCCAGTAGCCCTTGGCTCCCACTGGGCAGTAGTCCCTCTAGGATCCTCTGGACAGAAACCCGGGACCATTGGGGCCCCTGGGAGGCCTTCCCCACCAGCATCCCTGGAGACATCGGGTAAGGACCTCTGTGATCCACTCCCCTCCAGCTCCCGGCATCTCACCTGTCACCCGACATGTCAACCTGCACCCTGAAAAACCAGCATCCTACAGAAAACGCACGGGTCTACAGTTCCGAGTGTGCATAACAACAACAACAATAAGCAGTAGCCAACATTTGCTGAGCTCCTGCCAGGCCCCCAGGCTTCTTTCAAAGACCACTCAACGACCAACTCCCCAAGTCCCCACAACCAGCCCGGGAACTGCCCCCACTCATGCTTCTCAACAGGGGACAAAACTCAGGCAGTGAAAGACTAAGGCACACAGGCCAGGAGGAGCAGGCCCCAACTCCCATCCCGGGGGTCTCCCTCCCCTCTGCCCAGCTCTGGGCCCATGTCACTCACCAGCACTTGCCCAGGGTACTTCCGGTTCACGGCCACTTCCACCCCATAGACCTTCAGCTGTACGGCACTTGTGTAGCTCACGGTCTGGCTGCCCCGGTGCTCATTCTCCACCAGCACGCTGAAGCTGGGCAGTGCTGTGTTCTGGCCACAGGAGCCCGCCAGCAGGTAGGTGCAGGTGCCCATGAAGTCGAAGCGCCGGCCATCAAAGCTCACATAGTGCGGGTCCCCAGAGGCCTGGCAGCTACCAAAGCTTTCAGGGTAGCATCCCAGGAGGTTGTTCTCCACGCGGCAGCGCTCGCCTTCCGGGCAGCCCTGCGTGTCTTGGCAGCTCACCTGGTGGGTGGTGCCATCGCAGGTGCAGCTCTGTTTGCACAGGGTGTCAGCCCATACCTGCTGGCCAGGTGCCAGTAGGAGGCCCTCGAAGGTGCACCCGCACGATGACTCAGGGATGCAGGCGCCGCCGCTGGCCACGAAACCCGAAAGGCACACGCAGCCCTCCACGCACGGGCGCTCAGAGCAGTTAGACGGTGCTGCGACGGAGTTGCAGGTGGCGGGGCAGGCGGGGCCACAGAGCTCATAGCTGCTGTTGGCGGGGCAGGACAAGGCTGCAGGGGAGACATGAGGGTGGGTCAGGCCAAGTGTCCAGGCTCCCCCAGCAACCCCCCTCTGCTGGCTGCAAACTCAGCACTATCCTCTCAGTCAATGACAACGGCCCAGGCCCGAACCCCCAGCTCTGCCTTGAGCAGCTCCCTTCCCACTCCACTGCCATCCACTGGACAACCAACCTGCCAGTGTGTCCTGGGAACTCCATATTCAAAACCTATCCAGCATGTTGCCTGCTGCCTGGACTCCCACCTGCCTGCCCTGAGCAGCCAGGGACACCTGAATCAGATCAGGTTTGTCCCCTCTTAGGGCCCTCCTGAGGTTCCATCAGTCACCCCAAGGCCCTGCACCATCTGTTCCACCACTCCCTTGCTCTCATCTCCTCTCCCTTGCTCTCATCTCCTCTCCCTTGCTCTCATCTCCTCTCCCTTGCTCTCATCTCCTCTCCCTCTCTCTCTGCCCCAGTCACAGTGGCCTCCGTCCTCAGGACCTTTGCACTGGCTGTTCCCTCTGCCTGGTGTACCCTTCCCTCAGCACGGCATCCACAGAGCATGCCAACTGGAGCCCAGACAGCCTGGGTTCAGATCTCAGCTCTGCTCCTTCTTAGCTGTGTGACGGTGAGCAAATGACTCCCATCTCCCCTTGTCTGGTTTCCCTGTTGGTAAATAGGATGCTATAGCACCGGCCTCACAGAGCTGTTGTGAGGATTAAATGGGTTATTGATGTGGAAGTGCTCCACAAACATCACTGCTGCCTGCCTTGCCTGCCCCCCGCCCCATCTCAGCTCCAATGCCACCTGCTCACAAAGGCCATCCCTGCTCTAGGAGTCTCGCAGCCACTTCCACCGTGCAAACTTTCCTCCTATTGCTCTCTGAAGCTATTTCACACTTTACCTGCGTGCTGTCTGTCTCCCCCTTCTCTCCCTGGCACGTAAGTTTTGTGGCAGTGGGGACCTGGTCTGCCTCAGTCACTGCTGAGTCTTCAGCACCATGGACAGGGGCCCGGCACCCAGCAGGTGCTCAGAAATGAGGCAGATGTGGAAATGAAAGGGGGAAGGGAGATGGACGAACCCACTGGTGATGCAGGGCCAGGCAGGGGGCCCAAGGAAGGCTCATTTACTGAATGAGTGAGTGACTGAAGTGCATGACACCTGGCCAAAAGGCTTGGACCTGATCCAGGGAGGAGAAGCGAGTCACACAAGGGTGGTGAGTGGGAAGAGGCTGCACAATTCTCTGTTGGGATCCTGCAGATCTCCTCTCCTGCCAAGCCTCTACGTGCTGTCCCCCAGGAACCCAGTTTCTCCTCCTTTTTTCCTACTTCTTCCTGTGGCTTTGAACTTGGGCACCCCTTTTTTTAGGAAACACTTCCTGACACCCCTCATCTAGATCAAGAACTGTGTGTCTCCTGCAATGCCATTGAACTTCCCCAACCCAGCCTCAACCTCTCTGCCACCCCCAGCCTGACGGCTCCAGGGTGTCGCCGTATACTGCTATGCCTGCCGTGACCCTGGCTGTCTTGGCCATCCTTGTGCCCCAGATAGGCTCGGCATTAGTCTCAAGCAAACTAAGGGCTCAGATTCTAAGCAGACCCAAGAGGCCCGCCTGTCTATCCCCATGTGCCCCGGGCGCCCCTAGTGGCATCACTCACGGCAGCTGGCTGACGATCTCCAGTCCGTGACAGAGACACCGAGCTCCTGGCAGGCCTGGGCGTACGTGCTGAGGAGGCGGCACAGGCTGAGCCGCTCCCCGCCCGTCACACACAGGTCGTACACACAATCATCTAGGAAGGACTGGGGTTCCAGGACCTCATGGCAGGGGGCAAAGGGGCCCTCAGCCAGGGTCAGCATGCCGCACAGATGGTCGCCCTTGTACTGCTCGGTCTGGGCTGCGGTGCAGGAGGGACAGTTGCCCTGGCAACCATCATCACACAGGGGATCCCCATCGTCCAGTTTCCAGCTGTTGGCAAACTCCAGGGCATCCGAGGCCTGTACCCAGTCGGGTGTGAGGAAGTCGTCGGCGGGGTTGCCATTGTAGTTGCCACACAGCCCGCACACCTGGTCTTGGAATTTGGCAGGCAGGCTCACGGTCAGCTGAGCGTCCCAGTCGTAGGTGACCACCAGCCCGAAGTCCAGCTCCACCACGGCCCGGGTCCCGCGCTGATACACGCGCAGGCGGTCCTTGCTCAGGGAGACTGGCAGGCCTGAACGCTGGTTGTTGATCTGCAGGTGGGGTGAGGTGGGGTGGTCAGAGCCCAGGGTGGGCTGGCTGCTCCCTGGCCCGGGTCTCACTGTCCTGGGATCCCTCCTTGTTACTGCCACCCTCTGTGCCTCCACAGTTCTGCTCTCCCACTTCCTGTGGCCAGGAGTGATCTTGCCCAAGATGAGCATGTGGCTCACTTCCTTGGCTCACAGAAAATATCTGCTCAGGGAGGGCTGGTGTTGTGGCATAAGGGGCTAAGCTGCCGCCTGCAACACTGGCATCCCATACGAGCACGGGTTCAAGTCGTGGCTACTCCACTTCTAATCCAGCTCCCTGCTCATGTGTCTGGGAAAGCAGTGGAGGATGTCCCTGGGCTTCCTGCCTCAAGGTGCTCCTGGCTTCTGCCTGGCCCAGCTCCAGCTGTCGTGGACATCTGGGGAATGAATCAGCAGATGGAAGATCTCTTTCTATCTCTCTCTCCCTCTCTCTCTCTCCTATTTATTTTCAAATAAATAAAAAACACTTGCTCAGCTGTTCCCATATTTGTGAGGCCACTCTCTCTTTTTATTATTTTAATTATTTACATTTTTATTTATTTGAGAGAAAGAGAGAGAACTCCCATCTGTTGGTTTACTCTCCAACTGTCTGCAACAGCTGGGGCTGGGCTGGGGCAAAGCTGGAAGCCAGGAACTCAATCCAGGTCTCTCTCATGGGTGGCAGGGACCCACGTTGCCTCCCAGGGTCTTCATGAACAGAAAGCTGTGAGCAGGATCCCAAGCTGGGACTTGAACCCAGGCACTCCAGTGTGGGCTGCAAGCGTCTGAACCAGCATCCTGACTGCCAGGCTAAATGCCCATCCCAGCCCTGTTTCACATGGCGAGCCCTCTCCATTCCCTATGTCTTTCCCCTGACATGTTTCATTTGTTAAGAATAGCTTCTTGCCTTCTAAAAAGTAACTTGCAAATTCATCCTGTTTATTGTCAGTCTGAGTCCACCAGACATCTGCGCTACCCAGGCACTTTGCTGCTTTATCCACAGAGGCAGAAACTGTGTCTGGTAAAAACAGCAGGTGCACAATGGGTGAATGATGTCACCGCAGAGCGCTCTCTGGTCAGGACACAGTGAGAACCCTGCAGTCTGCAGGCTGCAGGCAGGCCCTCACCAGAACCCAACCATGCCGGCACCCTGACCTCAGGCTCCCAGCTTGTAGAGCAGAGCTAGAAGCTTGTGCTGTTGAGAAGCCACCCCTGCTGTGGCAGCCAGGGCTGCCTGAGATACCAGGAGCCAGGAGCATCTCGGTGTGTCCGCAGACACTTCTTTCTCACTCCTCACACATGTCCGGGGCTATGTTAGAGCTGAGACTTGAGGGATGAGAACGTCTTAGCCAAGTGCCAGAGCTCCAAAAACAGGAGCAGCAGGCAGAGGGGACAGCCTCAGCAATGGCAGGAGGAGAAGACAGAATGCACGCACCCAGGCCTGCAGCAAAGCCACCAGGAGTCCTACTATGCATCCAGTCCCACGCCAGCCAGTGCTAGGGACCCCTGCTCACAGCTTCTCAGTCCAGGGGCTCCCTTTCCTAAGAGCACAAATCCTATTCCCCAGGGCTCCACCCTGACTCTGTCACCTCCCAGAGGCCCCTCCTCCCTCCACCATCACACAGATTAGGATTTCAACATCTGAGTTTTGAGAGGACAGTAACGCTCCATCCATCATACCTGGCCAGACTCACAGCCCAGCTCTCTGTCTGCACACAGCACACTGGTGCTGGGCTGCATCTCCCACTCCCGTTTTCCTGGCTCTTGCTTGTGCATGAAGGCTCCACGGTTGGTCTTGCCCTTTTTTCCGGCCTCCCATGGCCTTCTCTCTTCCTCCACCCACCCCTGCATTTTCAGGACTGTTGCTGGCCATCGATGGATCTGCCTCTCCCAGTGGGCAGAGAGCCCCATGAGAGCAGGGCCTGGGACTGCCTTGGTCACCACTGGATCTCCTAGCCCAGGGTCAGGTGGATGCACCCAGGCAGCAGCAAAGCCACCAGGAGTCCTACTATGCATCCAGTCCCACACCAGGCAGTGCTAAGGACCCCTGCTCACAGCCTCTCGGTTCAGGGTGGCTGTTCCAATCAGCCTTGCTCCTAAGACCATCCATTTCCATTTTTAAGTGACCCAAGTCATATTTTCATTACAGAAAACTTAGAAAATGCAAATGAGCAAAAATGAGAAAGAAGAAATCAATCTTACTTCTATAGACACACACACAGATGTTCACTCACACGCACTCACCGAGATACACGTACTCACTTGCAGAGATACACACAGAGACGCATGCACACACATATATACACACACACATACGCATTTGTTATTCCAACTACTTTTCAATGCTTTTATACTTTAAGAAAAAAGATAATGCCACCATGCAGAAGTCACAGTTTCATGATCTCTCTCTCCTTCTCACGATGTTTTGTGCACATCCTACCACGATTCTACCAGGAGCGCCAACTCTTGAGAAAGTCAGTGACCTCTGTGAGGAGCTGACAGAAGATCCATGAGAAGCTGCACACAACTGCAGCGGCTCGGGAGTCCCCTGAGCTTGTGCCCTATCCCGCTAGAACACCTGCTGTAACACACCCGGTTGTTGGTCTCCCAGATCCACCTGCACACTCACAGGCTGAGCAGGTGTAAGAATATACATTGTAGCACTGTTTGCAAGATGGAACAGTATCCATCCCTCCCACGCTGCTTCAGTGAACTCTGGGACATTCATCCCATGCAGAACTGTGCAGCTCCCCCATCCCCGCACCCAAAAGAAGAGAGGAGGCTCCCTACGTGCTGATAGGGAAAGGGGCCCAGAAGGTACGGTCAAGTGCAGAATGGAGCATGTAGGGTACATTTTGTTAAGAAAGGGGAAAGGTAAGTCATCCGCTTGTATTTGCTTCTATTGGCAGGAAGAAACTCTAGATGAATTCTCCAGAAACCAATAGGAGAAGTTATCTGTAAGGAGTGGGGGGAGGGTGGGGGGGAGGGCGGAGGAGGGGAGTAGATGAAGACTGGAATAGAAACAAGATCTTTTGTATCTTACCCCTTTTATTTTGTGCTATGTGAATTCTTTGCCTGCTACGCTGTGTGCCTGCTTTTATTGGACATTCTTAAGCAAGCAAAACTGATCCACGGTAGATCATGGTGGGGAAAAAAAATTAGAACTGTGCCTTGTGCAGTGGGCTGGGGGTTGTTCGGGAGGGAACTTTCTGAGTTGATGGGAATATTCTGTATCTTAATGGGACTCTGGGTTACACATTTGCCAAAACAGCAAACTGCTCATTTGCAATTTGTGAATTTTGTGATATGTAAGTTTAATCTTGAAAACATGGAAAAAGGAGGAAGGGAATGTCATTATATCCTTAGAATCATATCTAAAAGCTATATTGAATCTGTTACAAACTAAATGTTTTCTTAAAAATCTTAAAATTAACAAAACGGGGGAGTTTTACAATAGTGCACCCTTCTGGGTGATCTGCATGAGGAGACCTTACAGAAAGTGGAGCTGGTGTGCAGAGCTTACTTCCAGGCACATAGACAAGAGCGGCTGTTGGAGGGAGGGCAGACTGTGTGGACAGAGGTCTAATCAGCCAAGAATAGCAAAAAGCTTGGAACTGAGGCGCTGGGCCCACGAGGTTCACTGTCTGGTGATTTCACCTGCTTTGGATGCTCTAACATTTTCATAATAACGTGACAAAAAAGGAAATCAGGCCAGCGCCGCGGCTCACTAGGCTAATCCTCCGCCTAGCGGCGCCGGCACACCGGGTTCTAGTCCCGGTCGGGGCGCCGGATTCTGTCCCGGTTGCCCCTCTTCCAGGCCAGCTCTCTGCTGTGGCCAGGGAGTGCAGTGGAGGATGGCCCAGGTGCTTGGGCCCTGCACCCCATGGGAGACCAGGAAAAGCACCTGGCTCCTGGCTCCTGCCATCGGATCAGCGCGGTGCGCCGGCCGCAGCGCGCCGGCCGCGGCGGCCATTGGAGGGTGAACCAACGGCAAAGGAAGACCTTTCTCTCTGTCTCTCTCTCTCACTGTCCACTCTGCCTGTCAAAATAAAAAAAAAAAAAAAAAAGGAAGTCATTGCTCCAGATGCTGCTGGTACTGGCGGAACGGCACAGCACGGACAAGCAGTGGAAGAGAGAGACTCGGGACGAGGAACGGGGACTTGGGAGCCAGTCTGCCTGCGTTCCCAGCGCCAGCTCTTACAGCTCCCAGTGCTTGGGGCATCACTCACCTTTCCCACCCTGTACCCTCCTCTGTGCATGTCCGTAATAACAAGGCCTACTCCCAGAGTTGCTGTGAGCATTAAGAGCTAAGAACCAACTGGGGCACTTAAATAGGTCAGTGATTTGGTCCCAAGAAATTCCTCATTCATGGGGCCAGCGCTGTGGCGCAGTGGGTTAACACCCTGGCCTGAAGTGCTGGCATCCCATATGGGCGCCAGTTCTAGTACCAGCTGCTCCTCTTCTGATCCAGCTCTCTGCTATGGCCTGGGATAGCAGTAGAAGATGGCCCAAGTCTTTGGGCCCCTGCGCCCATGTGGGAGACCTGGAGGAGACTCCTGGCTCCTGGCTTTGGATCAACACAGCTCCGATCTGTTGTGGCCACCTGGGGAGTGAACCAGCGGATGGAAGACCTTTCTCTTCTCTCTGTCTACCTCTCTCTGTAACTCTCTTTAAAATTAATAAAATAAATCTTTAAAGCAAAAAAAAAAGAAAGAAAGAAAGAAAGAAATTCCTCATTTGTACACCATGTTGGCATATTTGTTTTTCTAATTGTCTTTCTGAGCATCTTTGGAATTTCTAGACGTGGCATTGAAAGGTTTTAAGGCTCAGCTATTGTTTTCTAACCCCCGCTCCCCGTCTCCCACTCCCCAGCCCACAGAAAGGCCTTTGCCTCTGCCTTCAGACTCACGGCTCCCAGGGGGCCAAGCCCCCAAGCCCCCGGACACTCACCCGAACAAAGCCGACCTCCCCGCGGGCCAGTGTCACGTCGTGGTTGTAGGCACGCACGGTGACCAAGCCCACGTAGGAGACCAGGAGGCTGCCCCGGTGCTCGTTCTTGGCCTCCACGCTGAAGGCAGGCAGGGTTTCGTCCAAGCCACACAGCTCGGCCATCGTGTAGGAGCAAGTGCCCATCATGTCATAGCGCCGGCCGTCGAAGGTGGTGTAGTGGGGGTCGCCCTGGGCGCGGCACACGGCCGTGGACTCTGCCACGCACACGGCCTTCCCGTCCACCACCTGGCATTGCTGCCCTGCCGCGCACGTCACGCCTTCACAGGAGGGCTCCTCCGAGGACACCAGGCCTGGGGGGAAGAGGGTGGGAGCAGAGTCAGCCACACCCAGGGCCAGCGGGGGCCATTAGCCCAATGGTCCAGAAACCTACGTGCCACATCAGAGTGCCTGGGGCCAGTTCCCACCTCTGGCTCCTGGCTACAGCTTCCTGCTGGCTGGAGACCCTGGCAGGCAGTGGGGCTGGGTTCCCCTACCCATGTGGGAGGCCTGCATTGAGGTCTGCCTCCTGGCTCCCACTGTGTTGGCCCTTTGCAAAGGGAATGAACCAACTGATGAAATCTCTCTCTCTCACTGCCTCAGAAAAAATAAAAAGAAATGCCCACAGGGGCAGGAGTCCTGGGTCTCTCTCACCACAAGGAGTGCATTCATAGCTGCCCATTTTAGAGATGGGGAGACTGAGGGCTGGCATCACACAGAGACAGAGCTGCTCAGGCCTGGGCTTTCTGATCCCCCTGTTTAACACAGAGCAGCTGAGCAGAAGGGAAGGCAGTGCAGATGGAGTGACAGGAACTGTTATTGACATCTTCATTGTATTCCCTCCCTTTTCCCCCTCACCCCTGCCATCCCACCAGGCTCTAAAGGCTGAGGGATCTTTTGAAGAGCAGAAAGTAGAAGGCAGAGGCCGCTCAGCACAGTGGCAATGACTGTGGAGTCACGTTGTCTAGCTAGGAATCCGGGCTGCATCATGCAGCTCGGAGACACCGGGCAACTTATTTTTAAACTCTTAGTGCCCCAGTTGCCTCATTCGTAGGATGAGGGGAATAGGATAGCAATCCCATCTCCATAGGGGAATCTGGCAGAGGTGTGGAGATGGTTTTTGCTTATTTTTAAAAGATGTTTAGTTGTTTTCATCTACTTAAAAGGCAGAGGGAGGGAGGGAGAGAGGGAGAGGGAGAGGGAGAGGGGGAGATGGAGAGAGGGAGAGGGAGAGGGAGAGGGAGAGAGAGAGAGAGAGAGAGAGAGAGAGAGAGAGAGAGAGAGAGAGAGAGAGACTCCATCCGCTGGCTTAATCTCCAAGTGCCTGTAACAGCCAGCACAGGACCAGTCTTAAGCCAGGGGCCCAGAACTTCAACAGGGTTTCCCAAATAGGCATCAGGGACCCAAGTACTTGAGCCACCATCTGCTGCCTCCCCCTCCCCCCACTGGATGCATTGGCAGGAAGCTGGGTAGAAGCAGAGGTGGGGGGACTCAGACTGGCACTCCGATTTGGGACGTGGGCATTCCAAGCTGCAGCTCAGCACACTGCACCACAATGCCTGCCCCTGAAGAAGCTAAAACAGAAGTAAGATTTGGAAGTGAACCCAGGTGTCACAGTGAGTGTTAGCTACGGAGATGGATCATCGATTCCTCCTCTCTTTGATTATCCAAGCCCCAAAGTGATCCCTTGAAGTTGAGTGGCATCCATGTCCTGGACTCCAGAAAGGATGGCGGGGAGGATGGAGGTGAGGGTGGACAGCCCCATTGAACCAGAAAGCCATGGAGGAGCAGGTGGGTGGGGGCCAGGGGCCATTTCCCATCACTCACTTTGGCCGCAGGAAGCTGCTGTCCCGTAGCCCATAGCCTGGCCCAGCCCGAACGTGAGCAGCCCGATGTTGGTGTTGGCGTTGACTGTGTGAATCCTGTTAGCTGTGCCAAGGTCCACTTCAGTATATGAGAATTCACTGCCTGGCACAGCCACCCAGGGGAGCGTGGCCTTCAGCGTGTCTCCATCCATGGTCAGCCCGTTGACAGCCTTTGTCTGTGCCACCAGCACAGCCACACCCATAGAGCCTGGTGCGCTCTGGACCACATAGGTGGGGCAGTAGGCTGCCACATCCGGGATCAGCACCAGGTAGGGGTCATAGGTCATGTCATTCTTTATAGCCCCCGTGCCGAAGAGCAGGACCTGGATGCCCACATCTGCGGACAGGTAGAGTGGCCGGGACGGCCGCACCTCAAACTCTACCACGCCTCCCATCTGGAGTGAACGGGAGCCTGTGGTACCTCCGTGGTTGTAGGTCAGTTTCGTGGCCTGGCTGGCCACTACGTAGGCCAGATCATAGCGGCTCTGGGAGGCCAGTGGGGGCACCACATACTGGGTGCCCCACGCAGACGTGGGCAGCAGCTGCTCTACCACGTGGTTGCAGTTTGTGTGTTTCTGGGCACAGCTGTGGCCCGAGAGGACAGCCACAGGGTTACTGGCTGTGACCTTCGATCCCGAGAGATCAACTTCGCCCTGTACCTGAGCCACCTCGTAGGGCTGCAGGGTCACGCTCAGCACATCGCCTGCTGGGTAGATCTTGTCCTGGAACGTCACTGCCCCCTTCAGGGTGATACTGACCGAGGCACCTGACGCCCCGGCCACCACAGCAAACTCCCTGAGGCTGTTGGCTGAGGTACCCGGGGGTGTGAGCACGAAGTATTCGGTGCCCAGAGCGCTGACCGGCCGCAACAGGGTCAGCTCCGCCGTGCTGGGCTTGGCACTGAGGGCCTGCACGGCGATGCGGTGGTCGGAGCGGACCACAACCGCGTGCTGGAAGATGTTGCTGCCGGTCATCTCAGCCGCAGCACTGATATTGACCACGACTGACTCCCCTGGCTTCACTGTGACCGTCTGCGAGGCTTTGTCGGCCTGGCTGAGCACGGAGACCAAGGCCGGGCTCTCCGATAGGCTGGACACGAGCAGGTAGAGGGAGGCGGCGCTGTACTCGGGCTGGTAATTCTGCAGGAAGGCCGTGAGGAATTCCTGCCCCCCAGGATTCCTGGGCTCCACAGCTGCCTCCTGGGTCCACCCTTGAGAAAATGCAGTCGTTGGTCCACTTACCTAATCCGCCTGGTCAGTCGGCCAACCCTTTGCCCTGTGCCAGGAACTTTTTTTTTTTTCCTCTTCTCTTGCCTTTGTTCTTATTCCTGCACCGCTCACCTGCCTACAAGCCATTCTGGCTTTCATTTTTCTACAAGCCCAAACTCTTTGGACAGGGCTCTCAGGTGCTGAGGGGGCCGGTGAGACACACAGACGCGCAGTCCCGCGGCGACGTGGAAGGCAGAGTGGGCGCTCGCTGCCTGCTGTCGCAGGGGGCTGACAGGAGGGATTGCGGCCTTTTTTTATTTTTATTTTTATCTTCAGTGCTAGATCTTACCATGTTCAAGAGAAACTGGCTCTCTGAATGTGTATGTGAACTCTTCAACCCAAAATTGTTTTGAGGCACCTCGAGGGTCCCAACCGGCAGCACTCCGCGGCCGGCGGGTGACTTCTGTCTTGATACGACCCGGAGGGTTTGTGTGAAGAAGGTAAAGGAAAGAAGGGGGTTGTGGGAAAGGTGGATGTCTCAACAGCCCCTACCAGGAAGAGAGTGCCCAGTGCTGAGAGAGATAGAGAGAGAGTTGGGGGCGCTGGAGTGACAACTTGCCAAGTTCAGGGAGACTTGGAGGACATCCCAGTGTGCCCCAGGCCCAGGGGGTCAAGAGTCAAGGGACCTCCGGGTTCACCTAAGACTCTTGGCGGTTCCCCCAGGAGAACTGGGCACCAGAGCTCTCCAGGAATGTCCTTGGTGACGGTTCCCATCACCTTGGCAGAAGGAGACTCAGAGCCATGGCTTAGCTGAGTTGCAGAGAACCAAGACAGTGGTTTCTGTTGCGCCCTCGGCTTTGGGGGCCGAGGGCTCTGTGGCTTCCCTCCAGAAGAGTGAGCCTGGGCAGAGCCCGCCGTGCCCCTCTGCAGGAACTGGGGGCCTCTCTCCCATCCCAGCTGGCATGGGGAGGCCTCGGAAGGCGAGTGCCTGGAGGGGCACAAGTTGGGCATGGGCCACCCAGGCAGAGTGGGAGAAAGACACAGATGGGGACTGGGTCTGACTTACCCCACAGGAGGGTGGCTCCGGCCCACAGCGTCCACCAGCTTCTCAGGGAACCCATGCCTGCAGGAGGGAAAGAGAGGGGGTCCTAGGACGCTGGCCCATCACCTCCAAAGGGGACAGAAGGGGCTGGCCTCAGGATGCTGAGAGGGCTGAGGGGTGCAGGGAAGTCAGCCGGGGTGAGGAGGGCTGGATCCAAGGCTAGGGAGTGTGTCAGAGAGGCCGGCTCTGCAGTGAGTGTGGAGGCAAAAGTAGGGGACCCGCCACCCCCTTCCAGAGGGGCCCCCAGCCCTGCTCACCTGCAGGTCCCTGGAGCTGCAGGGTCAGCCCGCAGGCTGGGCTTTATAGTGGAGTGACCAGGCCCCTCAGGCCACACCCTGGGCCACCTGCCAGGCAGATGGTGCCAACTTCCTGGAGGAGGCTGCTGATCTTGGGGCCAGATGGGATGGGGAGCCCTGAAGGCCTGGAGAGGGTGGAGGGCAAATCTGGACGCTTGGGTCCACAGAGGGGTGCGGGAACAGCTGCTGGCCATGCCCTAGATTCAGCCTGGGAAGGGCAGTGTCCCTGAGAGAGACAGCTGGGGAGCAGGGTGCCGAGAGCCTGGGTCCCCGGGCGAGGGGTGGGGGGCGTGCGGGTATTGGTCGTGTTTGCTGGGGCACTGGCTGGATTCCTTATGTTGGCTTCTGCCAGGAACTACAGCAACGGACCCACATCCGGGTCCTGGCTCCTCTCCAGTCCACCCTTGAGTCTGAGCCCCCTGTCCCTGGCCACTCAGCCTATTCTGTGGTGAGAGGGGGAGAGGCAGGTGTCTGGGGATGGACAGGAGGAGTCTGAGGCTGTGACCCACGGGTTGGGAGTCGGCCCTCCACCCCCACTCCCACAGGGCCTCCTGGCTCCTCGTTGGTGCAATAGGAACATTGACCTCCCAGAAGGTGTTCGGAGCCTTCTCCAGGGCTGCAGCTGGGAGACAGGTTCCTCTTGGTCCCAGGCTGGGGATTGTGATGGGGACCGGAGGCCAAGGCTGGGCAGGCAAAAGGACAGAGCTCCGGATCCGCTTCCTGGAGAATTATTTGGTTGGGGATTTTTTGCTGTTGTTGTGTTTTTGTGGTTTTTCTTTTCTTTCTTTTTTGGCCCACAGAAGGGACTGGCTGAACAGGTTCTGGGCAGCCTCAGATGGGAGGTGGGGGGCCAGGAGCAGCAGAAGGGGACGAGTGGGGCTGTGGGTTTTCTGGGCGGGGCCTGCACTCCTCCCTAGGGCCCTGCCCTGCCACCGTCGCCCTCCCAACCACAGCACTCTTGTTTGCAAAGGAGTCTCCTTACCGCAGCAGCTGCTTAGCCTGAGTCCCATCTCTCAACACCCCACAGCTGCTGCGCCCCGAGTCCTCCTCTCTTATCACCGAGCCCTGGATCTCTGGGCAGGGCGGGGGGAGGTTCCCAGTGGCGGTGACTGAGACTCAGTGTCAACCCGGAAAACAAGTGAGTCAACAACAGCCTAGAAGGGAGGCAGATAAGGAGCAGCAAGCGGGATGGGGGGACAGCCCTGGGGAGGGAGCTCCAGGGGCCCCCGGGCCCAGACAGGAGATCAGGCCTGGGAGGAGAGGGTGCAGAGGCTGCAACGCGATCACAAGCCACAAGGTGCAGAGCCATGGTGTGGGGGGCCCCTCTGGGGCTCCGAGAAACGAGCCACGGTGAGAGACAAAGATTGAGGGTGACTCCAGGGGGGAGGTTCCGGCCCTCGGTGCCCTCCAGGGCTTGAGGTGGCCCCTGGCTGACCCCAGAGAGATACCTGCCCTGATGCCAAATCCCTCGTTGGGCTCTGCAGCTGGAAGACCTGAGAAACCACACAGGGGACAGCTGTCCATGTTGGACAACCCCTGGGACCACCCTCTCTCGCTCCTGTCCTCACGGGGAGTGTATGTGTGTGTTCCGACACACCTCTGTGCCCTACCCCGTGTTAAGTCTATTCTCAGGAACCCCAGGGGTGACCCCGGAAGCAACCTCTGGGGACACTTCCTTGTGGTCAGAAAAACCACATCCATCTCACCACTGGCAGCTGTGAGCTGAGCCCAGACAAGGGGCCTTGTGTGTCAGCCTTTCGGCCCCTCCCTGTGGTAGGAAGCATTCCAGACCCCTTGCTCGTTGGGGCCGTGCTGATCAGGCCGCAGCTGGTGAGAAGTTGCTCTCTCCAGCCAGATTCGGGCTGGCTGGCCATTGCATTTGCTAATGCTCTGTGGCCCATGATCTGACTTCTGTGTGCCTGGGAACTGTTTGCTAGACTCTCCAGTGACCTATCACTTGCCACTTGGTTCTAGCTCCTTCTCTGTAACACCTGACAGCAACATATCCTCTTTGGAACTGTCTCATGCCCTGGCTTCCGCATCACTGTTGTCTGGATCTTGGGCTACTCTGGTATGTTTCCTATAATAACTACACCCCCCACCCCCTTTTATGGATTGCAAGGGGAGAGAGGGAGAGGGAGACAGAGAGAGAAAGGGAGAGAGAGAGAGATAGAGAGATAGAGAGAGAGAGAGAGCTTCCATGTGCTGCTTCACTCCCCAAACGGTCATGCAACCAGGACTGGGTCAGGCTGAAGACAGGAACCAGGAACCCCATTCAGGTCTCCTGTGTGGGCAGCAGGGGCCCATCACCTGCTGCTTCCCGGTTGCCTGGGCAGGAAGCTGGATCAGAAGTGGAGTAGCCAGGACTCAAACTGGCACCCTGAGATTGGGCGCCAGAGTCGCAGGCAGTGGCACAATCCACTGTGCTACAACGCCAGCCCCACCCATTGTGATGCCCCTTTAACAGCAGTGGGTCTCGGACTCTTTTCCTAGTCTCCTCTTTTCTCCAAGTGACTCACCCGTGTCCACGTATGCTGGCCACTAGAACTTTCCACAGTGACGAACATTATTCTGCAATGCCCACATGTTGGGCAACATGTGGCTATTGAGCACTAGTGTGATGCAGGATTCTTAACTGAATTAAATTAAAATTTAAATGGCGCTGGCGCCGCGGCTCACTAGGCTAATCCTCCACCTGCGGCGCCCGGCACACCCAGTTCTAGTCCCGGTCGGGACGCCGGATTCTGTCCCGGTTGCCCCTCTTCCAGGCCAACTCTCTGCTATGGCTCGGGAGTGCAGTGGAGGATGGCCCAAGTGCTTGGGCCCTGCACCCGCATGGGAGACCAGGAGAAGCACCTGGTTCCTGGCTTCGGATCAGTGCGGTGCGCCGGCCGCAGCGGCCATTGGAGGGTGAACCAACGTCAAAGGAAGACCTTTCTCTCTGTCTCTCTCTCACTGTCCACTCTGCCTGTCAAAAAAAAAAATTAAAAAAATAAAAAATTAAAAAAAATGTTTATTCATTTTCACTTAGTTGAATGCAGAAAGAAGAAAGAGAGAGACAGAGAGAGAGAGAGAAAGAGAGAGAGACAGAGAGAGAGAGAGGAGAGAGAGAGATCTTCCATCCACTGATTCACTCCCCAGATACCTGCACCAGCTAGGCTGGGCCAGGTTGAATAGAGGATCCCGTAACTCAGCCCAGGTCTCCCACGTGGGTGGCAGGGACCAGATGCTTGAGCTGTCCCCTGCTGCCCCCAGGGTGTGCATCAGCAGGGAGCAGGGACTACAGCCAGGTTCTCTGATGTGGTTTGCAGGTGTTGCAAGCAGCAACATCCTCATTTATTTAGATTTTCTTGGGTTTATTTTACTAACATTTTGAAATTTTTCAGAATGTAGGCCATGTATGTCTTGTTAGATGTATACTTAACTATATCACCTTTCTCTAAAGCAATTATAAATGGGTTTGTGTTTTACATCTCAGACTTCACACTTCAGTTATTAGTGTACAGAAGTACATTTGATGTTTGTGTACTGGTCTTGTATTCTGCAACTTTACTGAACTCACCTTTGAGTTACAGGAGGTTTTGGTAGATTTTTTGGGTTTCTTTTGAATGCCAACACTCATAGCAACTGAAAATAGGGACAATTTTATTCTATCCTCCTGGTGTATTTTCTATGACTTGGTCTCGTCTTACTGGGATGGCTCAAGCTTACTGTATTGTGTCGAAGCAGAGTGGTGAGAGTAAATACCTTGCCTTGTTCCCAGTCAGGAAAATATCAAGGCTTTCACCATTGAGTATGTTAGCTGCAGGGTTTTTTGATAGCTACTTTTATCTAATTGAAGCAGTTTCTACTTCTGCTTTGTTGAAGGTTTTTTTTAATCATAAATGGATGTCAGATATTATTGAATGCTTTCCCTGTGTCAATTGAAATAAATATTCATGTAATTTTTCTTCTTTAGCTTGTTGACACAGTGAGTTACATTAATTTATTTTCAAATACTGAGCCAGCCTTGCATATCTGGAATAAAGCCTACCTGATTTTGGTATATAATTCTTTTTACATATTGAGGGATTTCATTTGCTGTTTTTCAGAGAGAGAGAGAGAGAGAGAGAGAGAGCAAGCGAGTCCATCACTGGTTCTCAGCCTAAAGCTTACAACCAAAGCCAGGAGCTGGAAACCCAGCCTGAGCTCCCACATCAGGGGCAGAAGCCCAAATACTTGCCCCAGCACTGCCTGCTCCCAGGGGCTGCATCAGCAGAAAGTCAGAGCTGGGAGCCAGATCTGGGATCCAGCCCAGGTACTCTGCTATGGGAGGCAGACATTGGAACCACCAGGCTAACCACCCATACCTGCTAATAGTTTTGAGGGTTTTTCAGTCCAAGTTCATGAGAGATACTAATTTTCTCTGCCCTTCCTCCTCCTCTGCCCTCCATTCCTCCTCCTCCCTATTCCTGGTTTCTGCTAATGCAGACCCTGGGAGACAGAAAGTCATGGCTTAAGTAGTTGAGTTTTTATTTCTGTTGCTTTGCTTTTTGGTTTTATAGTTTGCCTTTGGTTCTTTAGAAACATATATTCTTTGGCGATGTTTTCCATTTTTCATTTGTTTTCAGGGTTTTTGCAATTTTTTTATGATGGCTACTTTAGATCTTTGTCAGATAGTTCCAACATGTAATTCATCTCGGTATTGGTGTCTGTTGAATGTCCTCTTGTTTAAGTTGTGACT